CATTTTCAGTGTTGTCCGGTCTCCCAGCAAAAGAACGATGCAATTGATGATTTAATAATATAAGATTATCGGCAATGGTGGGAAGAGAGAAGATGGTGATTTTGGGCGTAGATTAAGGAATTTTGTTGTAAAAAAAGGAGAGAGAAGAGGAGAGGGAAAAAATGAAAGGATATAATTGAATCCCTTAATTGAAGACACTAATAATGGGGTGAGAGCCTTTTAAGGAGCAATCTACATAATTTGTAAAAAAAAACCTAGATACTTAATTAAATCATAGAGAACATTGGTAAATAGGTTTCTAATATAGTATAACTAGGTAAAAGTAGAGATTTTTACCTAGCTATACTATAATAAAAACCTATTTACTACCTTTATTTAGGTTCCTTATTAATTACTTTATATACCTATATTTACTAGTTTTATATAAAACCATAAAAAGGAGGAAATGAAACATACCTTAAATATTGGGTATCAGTTACACATAATCCCCTACATTTAAGATACTCTTCCTTTTTTCAAGGAAAACTATATTTGCCTTTGTACTTACCTAAAATCATCACCTCTCTTTGTACTTACCCAAAATCATCACCATAAGAAAGCCATTGAACCCCAATATCATCATCTCTCTTTGTACTTACCCACAGTAAGAAACCCATTGATACCCATAATCTTTCTAACCCAAAAATTTCGCTTATTCACTCCTCTTCCACTGTTATCCTCCCAAAATTGCAGATTCTTTCCTCTTCCAAAGCTGTTGATATACGATTTCTCTCTTTAATCGTCCAAAATCTCTTTCTTATTTATACAATACAGAAGAAATTCGAAGATTTGCTCTACAATCAAGTTGTGGGTAAGCTTCACTCTACATTAAAGTTGGTTTTAAGTTGAATTTCATAATGAAACCCGAGGAAGATGAAGTTTCGGAATTGTATTACGATTGTATGATAAAGGTATCATAATTGTATCGAAGTTGTATTTGATATATCAATACCTAAGACAATTCTGATACAATACTAATACTATTAAAATACAATATTGTATTATAATTTAAGTTTAGAGTTGGTTCTAGGTGGATGTTTTAAAGTAAAACTTGAAAAATATGAATATCAAAGTTGTATCATAATTTAGAATTGTATCACAATTTGTACCTAAAACAATACATGATACAATACTAATACAAGTATAATACGATATTGTATCAGTTTAAGTTTAGAGTCGGTTGTAAGTTGTATCATAATTGTATCAGAATTGTGTAAGAATTCTTTCAGGATTGTATCAAATTTGTATTTGAATTATGAGCAGTTGTGGAATCGTGACGAATTTCACAGTTTGTATCACAAATATATGATAATTATATATTAATTTATTAGCATTGTATCAGGTATTATTTTGGATATTAATGTACCATCTACACGTTATATACAATTGTGATACAAGTATGATACAGTTACGTTTTACGTATTGATTTATCTGATACAATTTAAATACAATTATGATACATTTATCATACAATTCCTGAATATTTCTTTATTTTCAGTGTTGTTCGATCTTCCAGCAAAAGAACGATGCAATTGATGATTTAATAATATAAAATTATCGGCAATGGTAGGAAAAAAGAAGATGGAGATTATGGGCGTAGATTAAAGAATTTTGTTGTGGAAAAAAAGGAGAGAGAAGAGGAGAGGTAAAAAAAAATGTAAGGATATAATTGAATCCCTTAATTGAAGGCACTAATAATAGGATGAGAGCCTTTTAAGGAGCAATCTACACAATTTGTAAGAAAAACCTAGATACTTATTAAAACCTACAAAATATAGAGAATATTAATAAATAAGTTTCTAATATATTATAACTAGGTGAAAGTCCTATTTCCACATTGTTAGCCCAATAGTCTCTTATTTTCATTTTAGGGTAACTGGACTTTTGATGAATGGAAGAATACTCTTTAATGGTTAAGTTTATCTTTAGTTGGATTTAATTACTCTCTGTGTTCCACTTTATAGGAAACGTTCACTATTTACAGAGTCAATAAAGATCTTTTTATACTTTATTTTTTAAACTACATTTTAAATATTTTGAATGGCTAACTTTTGACTTATACTCTTTATATAGATTTTAAATATTTAAGATTATTCAATAAACTTTCAAAAAAATTATGTTGGAATTCACGCCAAAAATTAGTCTGCTTAACCCTCGAAGTTCTTTCTCTTTAATTTGAACCTCTCATGAATTCATTCCTAGTACGAGCTCTTTCTCTTCTTCCTTGGGATAATATTTATGATAAAATGGTAAAATTGTTCAAATCATACTTTCTTCCTTCTAATTGCTTGTTCTCGTTTTATCTCTATCTTGTTGTTAATTGTCTCATCTTAATTATGTGTTTTTGAGTATTGATTCGCATCAACCCAAATGGCATGATTACTCTTCTATGTAACGCCGTAGAATTGAGGACATCAAGGCACTTTAAAAGATTGACCAGTGGTTTTATTGTCAACAACCAAAGAGCACAGCATAAAGCACAACTCTTAGAAATTGCACGGGACGCCCTAATTTAACCTATACAAACAAGCAATTGACTAAGTTGTCAAGCAAGATAACGACCATCCCGTATGCCATATTTGATTTTCCTTTGCCTTTTTAAATATTAATTCTTCTACTGTCTTCCTATAAATCTGTGTCTTCACTTGATAGAGAAGAGTATAAAAACAAGAAGAACAAAGACTGAAGAATATGATGACTGATAACTGATTACATCATAACTGTGGTTTTTTCTTCAGCAACCGCTTTTGCTTACTAAATGATTATTCACCTTCTTACCGGAATTACTGGTTCTATTCTTTTGCCAATTACAGAAAGTACAAGCTACCCTGGTCACATATTATACCTTTTCCCAAGATAAGTGATCTTGCAACCACTCAAGAATTCCCTCCTGGAAAACAAGTTTTGGCAGTTTACCCAGGAACCACAGCCCTGTATAAAGCCACAGTAGTCCAGGCTCGCAAGGTACCTGTATGTGTACTGAGGAACTGATTGGGTTTTGACTTATTTGCATGTGATCTAGAGCTGAAGTTACAACACAAAGTTTCTCAGTTACAACACAAAAACTAACTGGGAAACTTCAGCTCTAGAGCTGAACTTTGCTACTTCAGCCCCGTGTGCTGAAGTTATGCGAAAAAGCGCATACGCTTGCAATTGTTTTTGCAAAGCGGGCACAAGTTAAAATGTGACACAAAAAGCGGGTATAGATGCAAATGGCCCGCACAACTCTACGAGAACGCCAACAACAATGATGGCCCAGTAAAATCCTACAAACTCTACAAGAACGCGAACTCCACGAAATAAGCTTGAAGATGCCCTGGAATACACTTGGGCTTAACTCAGTCACCCCCCAAACCCAAAATAAAAGCTGTGAAATAAATGTATTCTATCAATTACATTTTCCCACTTTATTAGCTAGTAAAGCAGCTTTTACCATTTTACAGAAGAAATTATCAACAATCTTTACTCGTTACGAAAACCTTGGTATTACACTTTAAGGAACCTGTCAAACCAATTGCTCGCTTCCTTCACCATCAATGGAGTCATTTNAATTATATATTTTTCAAAAAATATTTTTTGCTACCTAATATTCTACATAGCCAAACACCAGAAAATAAGTAAGAAAGCCACTTATTTTTCAAGAAAATATTTTCGAGGACAATATTTTCCTTCCTACCAAACACGCCCCTTGTTTTCCCCCTTTGAACCCTTGGAATCAAAATTAGCTGATGGTGAAGAAAGGAAACATGCTTTGTTTTCCTGAAAAAATGAGGGAGGCAGTGAGGATATCATCGTACCTTGAAATTAAGTGGACAACCAGCATTCTCATAAGCTTTATGGGCTCTTGATTTCGGAATATCCAGGCCAGCAATGGGACAACGAGGATCTTCCGCTCCTACATTTCCCAAATGTAGATTTATCTTCCAGTTATTTGCACAAATTTGAAATGGTGCATACATTCTGACAATTGATGTTTAATAAATGGTAATGGCACGAATTATCATAAATCATGTGAACAAATAGATCATCATACCATTTAAAATCAGCAAGGGGCACGGTGCAATGACTGGTACTGTGTATGGTGAATCGAACTGAGATGCCAAACCTGGAGCAATTCTGTCCCAGACCTGGTCACGTATTCTAATTAAGATCAAACAGAAATAATTTTTTTTTGATGAATATTATCGTGAAAATTTTAAAAAGTTCTAAAGCTGCATTTTGGAAACTGATGACTATAACAATATACAATTGAATTTATAAATTAAAAGTTGCCTTGCCACAAGTCTTAACTTGGAACAGTCGCTTGATCCAGTCTTTCGGAGAGCTATACATTTACTTTTTCTCAACTTTAGGCTGATAAATTTTTACAGCTTCTCAAATACAGTGCTGGCCGATAAAACTGGATCAGAGATCTCCCTTAATTTATGTCACGTGAGGGAAGTTTATCCACTAAGAATGGGGTCATTGTAGATAGTCTTCTATTGGCTCAAGAAACTTATTGCAGACCAGATGAAGGAAAGATGAAGTAAAAAAGAGAGACATTGGAATAATAGCAAGCCAGATGAATAAGGTTATGAACAAGTACCAAGAAAAACGTCTGAAGGCTTTTGGTCTCAGAAATTTAGATGTCCTCAACAGCATGAGGTATGGGTTTCCATCTTAATTAGTAGAAACTATAAGAGTTCCACTAAAGAAGGATGAGTCTAGGCCTCACCTTATTTATACATCAGCTGAACCTCTGAGAATAATCCGAACAATGTGAGATCCCATTTTCTTCTGGTTACTCCGGAAACTGGTAGAAACTATGAGAGTTCCACTAAAGAGGGATGAATCTATGCCTCGCCTTATTTATACGTCAGCTGAATCTCTAAGAATAAATCTGAAAAATGTGAGATCTCATTTTTCTTCTGGTTACTCAATAGATCCCGCTCCCTTGCAGGAGAACTTGCTTAAACAGATTCAGTTTTGCTGCTACTGCTCCTCATTTTTTCCCTTAAGTGTGAGAGCTTCTGGTGAAAAGGCTTGATCAACTGAAACATAGGAGCATTTGCTTTTTTACTTTTGATTACAATTTACACGGCTGCAACTAGTGCTTCAAGCCCCAGGCTTGCTCCTAAGAACTTAGTTCTACCTATCTAGAAACTTTTTTACTCTTGCCCTTTCCTTTGATGATAAGAAACAAGATATGATTGTCCCAAATCTCCAACCACTTTAAGGCCAGTTATATTTAAGAGAATGAAGCATCTTGAGTAAAGCTAATCAGTTACTGCACAAGCACAATGACCAAGTCGCTTACTAGACAAGCAACAAGGAAACGAGATAGGGTACAAGAAGCAGGAAGACAAATAGACCTGACCTTCTGAACCACTTCTTTATCAATTTCATTCTTGCCTAAATCAGCACGTGCTTCTGAAAGGACAAACAGATGACATTTCCAGATAAGAACATACACAACTACAATACGCTGATAAAATACAAGTTAAGTTAGTTTCAGTCACCTTCAAACACAGCCTTGATACTGTCAACTCTTGGCTGCCACCTGTCATGCTCAATAGCCCACTGAAATCCCTGCAACCTCATTCCAAGATCTCCACAGTAAATCTCCTATTGATATATCCATAACTCTTTATATCTTCACTTAAACTAATTTTCAAGGGTCACCTGAACTCCGATTATAGGAACAACCACTGCATAGCGAGTATCAGCGAATGCAGCAAACCATGCATGCATACCTGCAAGACAGAACATATTATGAACTCCACATGTTTAAGTAACAGTTGATATTGAACGTTAAGTGACTCGCCTAACCTCCAAGTGATTCACCAGTAATTCCAATCCTTGACGAGTCAATATCTTCCCTCTCTGTCAGATAATCTGCCAGTTTTATCAAGTCCCAGACCTTCAAAATTTGCAGAAAAGTACTTTTTTCAGAGGCTAGATATTAGATAATAAGCACGGTGGTTTTAGATTAAAAACTGTACTTTATCAAGCTCTCTCAACTAAAAAACAGTGGAATTACGTCCATTTTCCAAACAACAAGTCTCGATTGCCTTACCGTATCAAATATAAAAGGCATTGTATCACCTTTCTTCCATGACGATATAAGGGCCTGAATTGTAGAGAGAAAGCAGTCAGGCATATCAACTCAATCAGATAGTAGCATCCAAGCATTCCATGTAAAGAAAATAGTGTGGCAAGTTCACTTCTTGATTTCTCCCCCTCAATATGAAGCCAGTAATAACAGAAATTAAGTACACCATGATATACAGAACAGATCCTCCCCACAGTTTATACTCCGAAAAAGCGAAGTAGTTTCAGTACTTCCATAGGCCATACAGTTAATACTCAACAAATTGGATCCTTCATAATAAAAGGCCAAAGATTTTGCTACTAAATAACGGAGTAATTAGTATATGGTATAAATTTAAGACAGCTCGCCCATAGCCTATTGGAACTGAGTATACTGTTTTGAATGAAAAGATAATGAAGATTAAAATGCTATGTTCTTACATCTCGATATGTTGTCATACTGGTGGCACGTTCTCCATGATATCGAGAATCAATTGCTACAGCTATGTAATCCCTTGAAGCATAAGCCTGAACCCAAAAAGTAAAAAGAGATTCATACACAGAATTGTCCTTATTGATCCATGATGATACAGAGTATTTTTAAGAAAACAGAATATCACCTCAAGCAATGGCCGTAACCACTCTTTGCATTTGTTTGTACTATGCAGGAAGACAACAGCTGGTCTCTTCTTCTTATCACTTTCTTTCATGCTCAATACCAAGACAGGCAACCGCCCCTGCTCTCCTTCCTGGAAACAGTGAGTTCATGCTCAATACTGACAGCTGGAGACTGATAAGTTGGTATTTTGCTAACTTATTCATACCTTTTTCTTGAGTTTTAAGGTTCTTTAAGTAAGATTTAATAGCCTTGACTAACTTAATTCGGTTGATTTCAGGTGTTTGAGCCTAAATGAAATAGTTGACGAAGGATTTGATCAAAAATAGGATGAAAAGAGATGGAATTTGGAGCAAAGGATTGAAGATTTAACGATGGAAGAAAGTGGAGCCGAAACTAGGGATGAAAAAGTGCATGAAAAAATGGCTAAGTATGGAAAATTTGGAGCAAAGTCTGCCCAGCTCTACGGTCTTGAATGGCTAGACGAACAACTCCACGATGTGAATCGTGGATGAGCTGATTCAGGCCATGATCGATCTTGAAGAAATTGAAAGAACTCTGTCCAAGTCCACGAACACCAACGGCTCCATAACAAGGCCACGAAGACATCTGAAGCATTAGAACCAAAGTGGAGACGGTCATCAATCGGCTCCACGACTGGACACCATAGGGGCACTTTTGCCAGATATTGCAAACAATTTTAAATAGCAATCTAGGTCATTCTTTAGAGCATCTTTGAACGTCGGAGAGCAGCTTTTGGAGTTTTCCTTAAGGGTTTTGGGCGACTTCGCCGTTGTTATAAACAAACTTTCTTTCCTCTTTAGCTATTATGTTGAGAATTTCATCTCTATTTGTATTTTCTTTCCTTATTATGTCTAGCTAAGCTTTTTAAGCTGGGATTGTGAATCCTAAGTGGGGTTATATTTTTGGGTTGTTAATACAAATTCTAAGTTTGATTAAGCTTTGTGTTATCTAATTACTTCATGCTTTATTGATTGATTTTGTGGTTGCAAACACTAAATCCACGCCTATTTTGCTTGTTCCAACTTGGAAGAGTGGAACCTAGCTTAGGTACAAAGTAATTACCAAGGAATTAAGAGGGTTAATCACTTGACCAATGAAATCTAGTTAGGAATAGTGTGATTTCTACTTGCTAATCAATTGCTTATCATTGAGCCTTAGTTGACTTGGAAGAGCAACTTGGGGTAAAAATCATTTTAAGTGTTGGAAGACATTAAGTTGGTAGAATTGAAATTGAGGCCATAACACATGCTTAATTAACTAGAATTGAACATCTATATACCAAAAAGCATAGCCTACACGAAGGAAAAACAATCCTAGCGTCTTTCTCTTATTTGTTACTACACCTTTACCGTGTTATCAAAGGCGCGCTTAAAGCACGCTTAAGCCCTGAAGTGAGGCTCAAAACATGTTGAGCGCTTCGCCTCGCTTAGGGGGGCGCTTCGGTGCTGTCATCAAGGCTCTAAGGCATACGTTTCCTTGCCAATGAGCATAATACTGAAGAGGCGACGATAAACAATTGATATTTCACTTTATCATAAATTCTTCAATTTCATTGTCCATATATTTGGTATTCATGCTTATAGATATTAGTCTTAGACTACACATACATATTTGTAGTTGCCTTTGATAACACTGCACCTTTATTTGCATTCTATGTGTCCGATAGAATTCCTTAGTTAAATTTTACTAGTAACTGTAGACATAATTGATCACCACTCTTTTGCTTGAAGATAAACTTAAGAATCACCAAGTTTACATGTATTTGGACACTTTAGCACAAACCTACTCCTTGTGGGATTCGACCTCAATCTTTGTTGGGTTTATTATTGCTAAAGATCGTGCTATGCTTCATTTAGAGGTGTTGGATTGGACGTCATCAGAGACATGGAGAATATTACGTCTGAAAAATGAGAATATTCCTACATTTATCTCTCAATTAATATGTTATTTGTGTAATTAAAGAATTATAAATGATGTAACCACTTCATTGGACTGCTGGCACCATTTTTTTTAATTATCGAAGAACCTTTACACTTTTATTTACTTTAAAAACACTTTGAGGCACTCTAGTCCAAAAATAGCGAAATAAATAGTGAGAATTCATATAGCTGACCCCAACTGGATTTAGATTAAAGCGTAGTTGTTTTTGTTTTATAGAGGCATTCCAGTTGACAGAATAGTTCTTTTCCTTAGATCTAATACAAAAGAGATGTTGGAAAAGGGTCTGGGCATTATATTCTTTGATCTCTATCAGTATGCTTTTTTCCTACACATTGGGGAAGGCGGGAAAGGGGAACATTAAATATCTTTACTTCCATTTATTAAAATATATCATAATGATATATAGTACTCTGTAGATTGATGAATGTAATGAAAATATAGAAATCATGTAACCTCCGTAGTCAGGTAGAAATTTTCCTCCTGAAGAAGTTCCTTCAAATTGGGTATATCTTCCTTAGGGCAAGATGCCATTACCTGTATTTGACAAATATCGCGGTCAAAATGGCACCAAAATAGTGCAGAATAACAAATATAAAGCTTGTGAAGGAGTTGTACGACCTCACTGAATGTTGGCTTTGGACTTTCCTGATATAATGGATCAGTCACAGGTTTTCCAGGTACCACACAGAGTTGAACTGAAAGGAATTACATAAAGGAATACAAGTTCGTTGATTAGTCTAAGGGCGGTAAGACAAGAATCCACAAAGTCTACCAAATGGAAAAAAGAAAAGGTGATCTCAACAATCAAAATGTATAGTTGAAACAAGAAAATCTAGTAGCAGACTGATGGTTAAGTGACTATGGGTCTTCAAACTAGGCAAAGTATGGAAGAAAAGCTCCCTATACATAAAGCCCTTCTTCAACATTCAAAAATATTGAGAATATTCTATAGTGCAATTCCCCATCAACCACCTGTGCGGAATCACCTTTGATTTTTTTAGGATTAAATTTGCCTAACTAGAAACTTCAAAAGAAGTTTGATACAACCCATGCCAAAAATAAATAAACACAAGAACAAATTGACAAAGTGTCTTGTTTCCAATCTATAACTTTTTTTTGGGGGGGGAGGGGGGCAGTCTTTATCTCCCACAAAGTGTGCTTATAGCAGTTGACAAGAGATGTAGGGACTACCTATGGGGCACATCAAAGGAACACAAGAAGATAGCATTGGTGGCTTGGGAGAAGGTGTGTAAACCAAAAAAGTATGGAGGATTGAACATAAAGGCAGCAGCAATTGGAACACAGCCTCAGTGGAAAACTACTCTGGCAGCTAAATGAGAAAAAGGACTCACTTTGGGTGAGGTGGATGCATGGCATATACATAAAGCAAAATGATACCATTTGGAACTATAGCCCTCCAGTGGATAGTAGCAGGTATTGGAGGAAGCTTAATGCACTTAAGGCAATCATGACATAGTGGTACCAAAGCGGTAAATATACTCACACCTAACGGACAGTACTCAGTAACTCAGAGCTACAATGCACTACTGACTGGATTGGTTAGATGCAAAGTTGCTGATTTAGTATGGACCAAAGTAATGCAGCCAAAGCACAGGTTCATAGTTTGGTTGGCTAATCAAAAGAAATTGCTCACAAAGGAGAGACTGCAGCACATGCACATAACAGTGACAGACAATACATGCAGCTTATGTGGGAATGGAGTAGTGGAAACAATGCAGCATCTGTTTGTGGACTGTGAGTGGATAAGGGAGATGAGAAACGAGTTAAGTCAATGGATAGGTATTCAATTGATGGCCAGGGGAGTTACACAAAGCCTACATTGGTTGAAAAGCAAAAAATGGAAACAGATGAAGAAAGAAGTAGTGGCATCCATATGGGGGGCAGCGATATACCACACATGGCAGGCACGGAATTGGAAGATATTCAGGAACACAAGTGTGAATACAGACCTTGCAATTGCACAGCTAAAAAAGGAGCTCAAATACAGATTAGAGGATATACAAATAGGTAGGAAAGCACAGCAATGTAGACAATTACTGAACAGGTTATGTACTTAGAGGAAATACTAGAGGTTAGTTTGTGTAGTTGGCAGCATTTTTCTAGTTTTTTGTATTTGGAGGCTTAAATGCAGAGATGAGCGTACTGGAGCTATAGGAGCTCAAGAGATGTAGTAATTTGGTTGGTTAATGGTAATATTTCACATTTATTACCAAAAAAAAATAAACAACAAATGCAGCTACTACCAGAGACCGATGCAAGAAAATAGTTTCAATAATCTTTAACACAAAAAAGAAAAACACAATTGAAGAGAAAGCATTTGCGATTCTGAGCTTGTAAAGTACTCATATTCAGAAAATTAAGGAAATAGAAACACTAATTAGGGTAAAAAAGAGTACCTTGAGGAGGACGGCGGGTGCGAAGGAGCTGAAGAAAGTCAGAGCGAAGATTGGCGGCAACGATGGCTGCCTCCTCCGCCATTTTGTTGTTGGTGTTGCGATCAGTGAAGAGGACTTTATTGTTTGCTGAGGAGTAGTTGTTCACATTTGAGACTCGGCCCCGGTGTTTATAGCAGAGAACGCATGGCTTGTCGGATTGCACGTGCAGTATGGGTCCCACTCCCACCAACATCCCTGAAGGTTCCTGCGCACCTTCAGGGATAACAAACACACCAAGAAGGTTCCTACGCAGCTACCGCATCCTGCAACAAAATTAAGAAAGGGAGTGCGTGAAAATCCCAAGAAGATATATTTCAAGAAAGGGGAGTATCCTTTCAACGAGGGGAGGGTCATGTATACTGTTACGCAACGCTTTCCTGATGTTCTTTGGAACGGTAACGTAAGGCTAAGCAACCAATGTCACTGCGGTTGCTGTCCGCCAATGAAGTCCCCTCCGCACGCTAGACTAGATTGTCAGTGTCGTGCGCGAAAACTAATGTCATAAGCAATTGCGGAAGCTGAGAGAGAATTGGGTTTTGAATAATGATGATGATTTTATTGATGACTGAAAATGATGATTACAATGATGCGGTGTCGAGGGAGAGAGACACCAGAAAATGCTTGCTTGAAGATGTTTGATTGTTTGGTCCTTGCTTAAAAAAAATAAACCAACATTACATAACTAGTCCTAATAAAGCTGTAGAAGCACACTGAAATGAAAATGATGTAAACTAGTCTATGATTACAATAAAAAGGACTTAGATTATTACAAGGTAAAACTAAGTCCGATGGCAGCAAC